AATTTGTTTCCCTATGTGTTGTAGATTTATTAAATCATGATTATCTAGTTATCTAAGCTATGATTACTCTATTTAAATACAATTGAACCCCTCCTTTGGGACATTACTATTTAGGGGACCCCTCCCCCCATCAAGGGATACATGTTTATGCAAAATGAAGGGACTCTATTCAGGGGCGGATCCAGAATTTTTCAAACGGTGAGGGGGACAACAGTTTCAGGATACACGCGCCTCCAGTGCTACCTACTGGATTCGCCCCTGCTATTTTATTCTACTGCTAACCATGACAGGGACACTACATGATAAATTTAACACATATTCAACCCTTAAGAAGACACGATTTGTGCAAAGATAAGCCAAACCATTCACTCTTCGCAAAAATTTATTTTTATTTATTAATACAGGGTTAAACTGTATTAACATGAGAGCTATAAAATGGTTAAAAAGAATTATTTAAATCCAACATTCATTGTGAAGTTACAGGGGTTTAAACATACAGCTGTTATAGAACAATATTTGAGAAATCAGCCATCAAAGTTTACAATTTCAGGCATTTCTCATCAACCATCAATTAAATTGTTAAAATTGTTGTTTTAACATTGAAAATGAGGAAAATAAACAACATAGCATGGTGTATAAATATTATAAAGGATAGTTTAGTGCAATAAAGTACATTTCAAAATTTATAACATTGCAGCTTGTTTGTGACTCTTTTGGCTTGTTTGTTCCACATTTTCTTTTCCTATGGCAACAACTGTTAAAATCAGAGTTAACATCAAAATGTTAAAAAAAGTGCAACTTGAAGTACTTAATTGAAATTGCATAAAGATTAAATATCATTAATATTCCTCAACAGGATGGTGATACAGCTCTACATCTGGCTGCCTACAATGGCCATGCAAGCACATTAGAACTTCTATTAGATGCTGAGGCACAGGTTCTACAAAACAATGTAAGTAATTAGAAATATTAAATTGCAGAAATTTAAAGCAACGTACTATAGAATTGCTATGGGTACAAGCATGCACTCCAGTACGCTAACATTTTTATGCATGATCTTGAACTCAAATTTCTTAATTCATGCTCTGTTCGACCTTATCTTTATTTACGCTACATTGATGATATTTTTGTTATTTGTGACCGATGGAGAAAAATCTTTCCATGAGTTTTACACTTCATTTAATTCATTCTATCCATCTATCAAATTTACTATGGATATATCCAATGATTCTGTTAACTTTTTAGATACTACTGTTCAGATATGTAATGGCCGTCTCAATACTACTGTATACAAGAAACCCACAGACACACAAAAATATCTCCATGCTACAAGCGCTCATCCCAAGCATGTCACAAAATCCATAGTCTATAGTCAATCTCTTTGATACAACTGTATATGCTCTAATATGGTTGATAGAGACAAACACCTTTCAGACCTCGCTCATACATTCACCAACCTAAAGTACAACAGTGACGTCATTGAAGAACAGATGAACAGAGCCAAATGTATCCCACGCAAACCAAAGACTTGCTCTCCTACAATGATAAGACTCCTACCGCCCACTGTAACTTATCATCCAACACTCAGACCTATAAAACAGATCATTGACACAGCCTACAACCATTACTGCAAGATGATAGTTTAAAGGATATATTTCCAGATAAACCTATTTTTGCTCATAAACAGCCACCCAACCTGAAAAAACAGATAGTCAGAAACAAATTCAACCATAATGATAAACCTGGCACATTCCTATGTAATGCTAAAACATGCTAACTCTGTAGACGCATTGATTCCAGTGACACACTCATAGGACCTAACAACTACACTGTCAAGATCACAGGCACCCATATCTGTACATCATCCAACCTCATATATGCCGTTACATGCAATATCTTCCCCCGAGCGGTTTAAATATCTATCAAACAGGTTAAACATTAAGACAAAGAGCATAATCACACACAAAAACCTGTTGCTCAACGTTTCACTCTTCCAATGCCATAATATTAATAATCTTAAAGTTAAAGTTCTTATAAAAGATGGTAATTTAGAATAATCTTGAAAGGGAAATTGTAGAGCAAAATTATGTTACTAAACTTGACTGCATTAATTTAGGACTAACTATAAGGTATAATCTATTACCTGTTCTTGCATATAATTTGACTGCTTCTGTTTATTCCAATCTTTTGTTTCATCAGATTATATTATTGTTTTGTTTTTTTTTATTTGTGAAATATATTTTAGCTAATTACAGACTTTCTACTAGGAAAATTCTTGAATTAATTAATAGCCAATCTGTGGATATGGACATGGTATGATTATTTTTGTAATTTTTATATGCATTTATAGGTCAATAGAATACTTTCTCATTTTTAATTAAAGTCCAATAGCTAAGGTATAAAAAGTAAGCATTTAAATATAAACATTGTTTGTTTGATAACCAATTTTTCTTATCCACCCACGTATTCATTCATTCATTCATCCATCCATCCATCCATCCATCCATATATCTTTTATTTCATTTTTATTTAGAAAAGAGTCTCAGTACAATCCATACATACATAAAAATAAAACAGTACTGAAACTATTTAAACTTGGAAACTATAGCTTGGTTGGCAGCTAAGAAATCAAATAATATTCAAATTAGATTTTGCTGCTTACTGTAATAGATAAATAATAACAACAGTGCTTGATAATTTGCAGACCTGATTTGTGTAGATTTTTGGCCAGATCTCAGTGAAAATTTAAAAACTACTCCTTCAATTAAAGTTCGTAGTACGCCACAAGTTTTCACACTGAATTCACTTTGTATTGTTATTGCTGCGAAGCAGCCAATTCATATTCTTGACAGCAATTTGACCTCTGAAAGGTCATTGTTTGTCAAAAATCAATCGTCTGAGACAACTGAAAAGCGGAGTTTCCTTCTTTCGTTCTCCCGGGTAAAATCAATTACTTAAGGCGACGTTTGTAGACTAACCTACACGTACCAACGTCGGCATGTCGCGACGCTGGAGTACTATTCAGCGTTTTTACTATATTTCTAGGTTTCCTATTTCTACGTTTAATCGGCTCATGTCTCAGCCACAATATTTTGAGGACAATATTCTACGATCGGACTACGATCGATAGCGACAAATAAACAGTGCCAAAAATGCTCCCATTTTGTAATAAATTGCACTATCTTGGAAACGGGGGATCGTTTTCTGGCTAAGGGGGTTCGCTGGCAAAAGGGGGGGTTCGCTGAAAAAGGGGGGTTCGCCCGAACCCCTAAAAACCCCCCTGGCTACGGGCCTGCTAATGGTGCAATGTTGCAATGAAACAAATTATAGAACACTGTATTTAAATGTGTAACTAAAAATATCATGTACTGGTATACTGTCTTAATATTATAATGAAGGTATAATCTCATATTTTAATAATATCATGATCAATTATGGAATTTAGTTTTGCAGGTATTGTACAGGTAATTTATAGGTTTTTAATTCTTGATTATATAAGGCTCTGTTACATTAGTAATTCATACCAACAACCATTCTATTTATTTATGATGACCTAATGGATACAACATATTACATTAATAATAACCATTCAATTTTTTTTTGCTTTCATCTAACACAATTAAGAACAGCGAAACTGTTGTTGACTTATATGAACGGCATGAGTGTGAAGCATATGACGATACAAGTAAATATTGCAAGGTTAGTAAATTAAATGTACTCTAATACTAAAAACAACAGTAGATTATTTTTTACTGAGTAGTAGTTATACATATATTGCAAATTATATCATTTATTAATATATTAACTTATTAAATTAAAATTGTTTTAATTAAAAAGATTAATTAAGTAGATCCCATTTTGACAGTTTGTAGTATACATGTGGGTTGGTAGTCTTCTTCTAAATGTACTGGTTTTGCTATTATGAAATTCTATTTTAATTTATATTTCTACAAACTTGGATGAATTTATTCAATAATATAAATTATTATTATGTTTTGAGTTAATTATCAATTTAACTGATGTTACCGAACACGAATCTACCGGCTTTTTGGGACAATGGATCTTATTTGGTAACAGAGCTCTTTGTACTGAAAAAAAAACAACCACCATACAAGACAGACATAAAAGAAACAACCATAAGTAAAAGATAACCGAAAAAACCATGAGGCTTATTTCTTAAACAAGATTGAAACAAAAAAGGTTTTATAATATCAGAATTAGAATCAAATTTATTATTCTTTGTCCCCATGGAAATTACATTGATTGCTTAGAGCTCTTAACATTTGTACATACAATACTGTAGAATAAAGTTCTGACATAGGCCTACATAAAGACAGAGATACTGGACTTACTTATCTACATAATATTTAAAGAGCATACATTTGAACATGATATACCTAATAGTTTGGTATTTTGTATAAAAGCACACAAAAAGTCTACAAAAGTGGCACAAGCATAACACACAATTATTGGAAGTGTTTAAAATAATATGATTTTAACAGTGGCAATAAATAATTACCGGTAAATAATTTTATATATTATAAAAATGCTTAACATTAATTTAGTGTTTGTGCTGACGACAGTGCCTTGTTGGTGTCAGGGAAACCGTCAGCATATCGCTGATACATCGACTTAAAAGTTAGCTTCCTGTAGACTATAGATAGTAAAGTTCTCGCTTCACATTGGCAAAACAGAAGCTACCATTTTGTTTGGGACTAAACAAACAAAAAAAATGCTTTTTCATTGTAATGGATCGAGAACCAATTGCCACAAAATGTAAAACAATGAACACACATACACACAATTACTATTTAGTCAGTGCCAACGCAGGAACAATTTAGACAGACGTTAGAGAAATTAGATCTAATTTTGTTTTGTTTTTGCAATTGTACTATAATTTTTTGCTGCCCATGCTGCCCCATACACAAGAAGGCCATTACCAGTTCAAAGTTGCTGATTATGTCTATTTTGCTGTACACTTTTCCAGACGTTCCTGAGGAGATAATTCTTCGTGGAGAGGTAGCAATAGAAAACTTCAATACATCAATAGAAGATGGAGGGAAATAACTGTGTAATGTCAAAATCATGGTGCTTGGGGACGAACATGTTGGGAAAACTTGCATTACCAATCAACTAGTTCAAAAACCGTGAGTTTAATATTTTACTTTTAACAAAAAACAAAAACAAGTGAATTAACTCAACTGTGAAAGACCTTTTCATACTTCCTGAGTCCATCCATAGTTTTATTATCAAGTTAAAAAATAATAGCTCACCTGGTCTTGATGGCATATATGCTAGAACCCTCAAACCTATAGCAGATGTCATTTCTTATTCTCTTGCCAATTTATTTAACCTGATCCTTTCGGTTGGTATCGTCCCCACTGCATGGAAAACCTTGCGTGTTTCCCCCATATATAAAGGTACAGGTGACAAAAAGGACATCAAAATGTATCAGCCAATTGCTCTAACATCTGTCATCTGTAAAGTTTTGGAGCGCCTTATTTATAATCATGTCTATAATTGCCTTGAATCTAATTCCATTATCTCACCTTTTCAATTTGGTCAATTTGTTTTCAACTCTCTTGACCCAAGTTTATTATCTTGGGCCAAAGAACTTGACAAAGCTAAACTTTGCAGTATTCATGCCGTATTCTTAGATTTGAGTCTAAGGCTTGACAAAGTGAGTCATCACACTCTCTTATCTAAGTTACACGCCATAGGTTTCCTGAGGCAACTGTGGTCTTGGACCAAACACTCCCTAAACCGATCTCTCTGTGTCCATTTTCAAGGCTGTATTTCAAATTTTGTTACCGTGACGTGGAGAACATTAGGGCTCCATACTAGGACCTTTACACTTTGTAACTAATCACTTAATTTCCTCAATTTCTACCGGTACGTCAATGTTCTTATATGCAGACGACTCACTTATCTACAGACCCATCCGATGCGCCAACATTTTTCATTTAAAAAAAAAAATTTTTTAATAGCATGACACTTAATTGCAGCAAATTTAAAACCATGTGTATCACCAGAAAGAAAAATATCCATACAATTATACCATGAATTTTACCCCTCTGTCTTTAGTTACGACCACGCATAAATACCTTGAAGTTACATCCGACCTTAAATTAATATTTATTTTAAGTTGGGGATTTTAGACGTTTAATTAAATTAAGTGTGCACAGTAGTTTTGAAGTATGCAACTTAAATATTGAAAACATTGAAACAGTCCGAAGAAACTTCACTCGCTTTTTTTGAAAAACTCCACGATTCCCACACCAAACCGGATACATTCAATATACTGATCGTCTTACATTTGTTTTTATTTCATTGGAGTGACATCACTACCCCACACGTATACCAGTATTTTGCTTTGGGTGGGATATGTGTGTCATTTGATTTCAGTGGAGTGCATCTACCCCACACTTATAGTTCGCTTGGTGGGATGTGTGTGTCATTTGATTTCAGTGGAGTGCATTACTACCCCCAACTTATAGTTTGCTTGGTGGGTCATTTGATTGAAGTGGAGTGATATCACTACCCCACACGTATAGTTCTCGTAGGGTGGGATATGTGGGCCATTTGCTTTCAGTAGAGTGACATTGCTACCCTGCATGTATAGAGTTCGCTTAGGGTGGGATATGTGGGGCACTTGATTTCATTAGTCTGACATCACTAAACCTGCATGTGTGGTTTGCTTAGGGTGGGATATTTTTTTTTTTTTTTCATTCCTGATGATGACATAATTAATGTCGAAATATTGAATCCCAACACGATGGCGTGTATTTCAATACTTGGAGTATGTATTATACTTTCTTATCTGGGATATGTGGGTCATTTGATTTCAGTAGAGTGACGTTACTACCCCAGATGTATACTTCGCTTAGGGTGGGATGTGTGGCTCATTTGACTTCAGTGGAGTGACATCACTACCCCGCATGATTTGCTTAGGGTGGAATAATTGGTCATTTGACTTCAGTAGAGTAATGTCAGTATTCCATAATGCATGGTAGTTACCATTTTATGATTTTATTTTGTGCCTGAATTATTTCTGTAGATATTAGCCTAGTGGCACTCATAGCAATAAAAAAGAATTAAAATAAATTTTAGTATATTGAGTAGGAAATTTTTGTGGAATTTTCATAAAAATTCATAAAATATTTTTAGGCATATTTTAACAATCTTCCATGGAATAAAACTTACGACTAGTTAACATGAAAATAGTCAGATATTTATCATATTGATTAATTCCAAGTCTAATCACATTGGTGTTCTTCCCCACTAAAATGCTTAGACAATTTGAAGTGATAACAAATTGTGCATATACAGAAATATAAAAAGAAATTCTTTTTTCACTGCCTCATGCTAATATTTCTTTTTGGAATGTTTGTAAAAAAAAAGAAGAAAAGTATATACCACTATATAATATTGGAAATTTTAGAAGAAGAACTAGTATATACCACTATGAAATTCTAACAATATTATATAAATAAAAGATTTTTTAAAAAGACAACAAATTCATGGTTCTGAGCTGTCATAGTACAATAGCAATATACCTTGAACATACACACCATGTAAGCCACACACTATAGGCAGCATGAGGGCCTATCACTACAGTACAAGCTAACACATTTGCTGGTTTGACTGGATACACTTGAATTTTGGATGTGTCTAATAATAATCTTGTCTCCTTATAAAGACAAAAAGATAAATTTACTTAAATATAAAATTTTATTTTCTGTAGTAAAGATATAAGATGAATATTAAGTATATAAATCTTGATAACCATGTATCTTTTGGCCTATTCAATCCTTTATATTTTACTTATCCATCATACAATCACTAGGACTGCTGTGCATGGTCTTTTTACAATATAACTTTTTACAGTAAATACCATAGACTCCAGGTGCACATACCATGATTCGTTGGATTAAAAAATGTCTGGACTCTTGCAGACTATAGGAATCTATATTTAAACTATGCTGTGCAGTACTATGTGGAGTGACGTATTAATTTCAAGACACCATTTTATGGAATAAAATTTTTTTTTTAATGATTTTTTTTTTTTTTTAAATCAAATTTGGCACTGTATATGCAAAAGGCAGTGTGGCAACAGTTCATCCTGTGTGAGCCAAAGCCGGTGAAAGGATGCATCTGGTCACTTGTCTGCTTGTAACAAATGACGACCACAAGATTCTTCTACTACTGGTTACATTTTTTTGAAAAATGGTGGTAGGATGCTTCTGTATTATGTAAATTCACATTTTATTGTTTATTAAATTATATAATATTCTTTTGTTTAAGCTTTAATCAACATGAACCAAGCACTGACGGCATAGTAATATCTAAGCTTTGTCGTATCAAAGCTAATGATACATGGACAGTCATTTCTAAAGAAGAAGGTTAGTACTTACAACAACAAAAAATAAAATTAAATATATGAAAAAATATGTTTAAATAATACAAATAGTAAGGTGATTTTTGATTAAATTTTTTGTCTATTCAAAATGCTGAACTTTTGCTACTCTGTATAAGAACTGTACAAGAAATACATACAAACAATAAATTGTACCAATACAAAAGCTTGAGTCTCTCCCCCCCCCCACCAAACAGGACAAGGCCCCCTTCCCATTGAAAAGAGCTCGTCAGGCAGTCAGAGTAAAAAAGATATAAAGATAGGCCCACACCAAGCCAACACATGTCTGAGAGTGTCATTTCAAGCCACCAAAAGGTTGCTATTCTTAAATCTCATTTGGGCGGGGAACACCCCTCTCAAACCCTTCCCCCAGCTCAGGCCTACAAGCCAAGTCCCCCTGTCGGACAGCTCAGCCCCCCAGAAAATATCCTAGAGCCGCCACTGTGTATCCCGCTGTGTATACATACAGGTCTCTCTCTATTAAAGACCCCTCCAATGAAAGACTACCTTCAATTAAAGACTGTTTTTCTGTGGTCCCAAATTAACAACTCTTTATCTTTATTATTCTACTGTATTAGAGATGAAAACTACCAAAGACAGTGAAATCCTGGTCTCAAAAGTGGTCTTTAATTGGAGGAAGACCTGTATAATAAATGCATCAACTGTTTACGTTTATTAATATATCGTAAAGCTTGGTTCCCACTTGCAGGAAACCTGCTGCAATGCAACCTACGCAACGCAACGTAAGGAAATGCTCTTGCAGTAATTTTTACTTTACAGAAAGTTGCATTTGCACAAGTTACATGATGCAACTTAACAAGATGGATACGGTTTCTCACTAGTCGCCGTGTAAACGCAATGATTTCCATGGGAAGCCTTCAAAAGCCGTTATTAAATTAGCATTCATTGTAGGGCTACTAATGTATTCTAGGGTGAGACTGGGCTGTTTTCCATGTCTATTTCTTGAATACTTACCTGGATAAACCGACAAATGCTTAAGTTTCCTTTGAAACTTACCTCTTGAGCATAAAAGAAAATAATGGACTCGCCTTAGCTCACCTATGTACGCCCTGCGTGAATGAACAATATCCTCTTTTCCTTCTCGCTTTTGTCTTGTATTATAGATGTGTGAAAGCTTGCCTATTATGTAAAGTTGTAATGCTTCCTGTAGCCATGGCAGCGCTGAAGCCGACCTGTTCTGAATATTACTTATAGCTGGGTTATGCCTGTTTAATGCTTTAAAGTTAATTGAGTTTTGCTTTTCAGCTGTAATAATAGGCCTCTCGAAGAAAATATAATAAATAGATTATGCCTAGGTCCGTTTAATAAATATACATTTTACACTTATTTACTGTAATTATTAACATAAATACTGCACCTAGGCTGTATTTTAAAAGATAATATTTTATTATTATTTTATTAAATTGGCATATTAAATTAAATATACAGTACATTTTTTGCCTAATGTTTAATTGCAAATTGTATGACATTTTTATGTTTTTGTAAATCTAGGATTTAAATCTTGTTTATGCAGATCTGTATAACAAATGACTAAAATATATTGCCATAACATAATATGATTACTGTACATTAAAACAACCAAAATAAAAAGCTAAAATCAGAGTCAAACATAGAGTGCTAGACTCAGACAAATTTTTAAATCCATGTAATATCAAGAGTGGCGCCCGTATTTGCCTACGGGTGGTGTTGGGAGGTGTGTAGTGTCAGATGTCCCCAACAAAAAAGGTGGGCGTGGTAGGACATCGCTCAAAATTTCTCAAAAGTGTTCCAGTGGGTGAAATCCCCCTCCCAAGTATGACAATTTAGGGGTTTAAATTTCTTATTTAATCGATTATAGTCTACTACAGTAGTTAATGTTTAATTACAAATTGTATGACATTTTCATGTTTTTGTAAATCTAGGAATCACATTTTGTTTACGCAGATCTGTATAATAACAAGGGCTGAATATATTTCCTTAACATTTATTACATACTGTACATCAAGGCCAACATTAAAAGCTAAAATGAGAGTCAAACAGAGAGTGCTAGATTCAGAAAAATATTTGAATAAATGTAATATCAGAGGGTGGCCCAGGATTTTTCCGACTGGGTAGGGGGTGGGGAGGAAAAATAGTGAGCGTGGTCGGATCTCGCGAAAGTGTTCCAGGGAGGCGAGCCCCCAAAATATTTGACAATTAATGGGTTTCAAATTCTTATATATGTAATCGATTTTAGAGGCTACTAATTAGGCCTATGTAGAAAATACATAATTGTTGTTCTTCCCGATGACTTGTGGTTTATCTCCCTGACGGGGGGAGATCTTCCCTGACGGGGGGAGATCTCCCCCCTGCCCCCTCCTCACCAGGCTTCACCCTGATTGAAGAATGGTTGGGTAAGATGCGTTGCATATTGTTATAAATAATAATGTTTACAGTATTTTATGCCATTCAGTAGAAGAGCACCGTAAGTGGTTCTATTAAAACTAGGCTATAGGCTTAACTAGGCTATAGGCTTGGCTAGGCCAGGCCAGGCTATGATAGGTTTTATGATAGGATAGGCTATGATAATAATAATAGTAATAATAGCAGCATGCATTATTGATAACAACCAATAATAATTATTAATTGGCAATGACTAGGGCGATGGCAACGGTCTAAGACAACAGAAAACTCATTAAAAAATGTAAACATGAAGCACTACAACTACATATCCAACAGTTAGAGCATGTGTTGCGGCGCTTGTGTTGCGAAAAGTTGAATCGATTCAACTTTTTGCAAACAACGCAAAGACGATCCGCAAACAACTCAAAAGTTGAGTACCGTTGATGTTGCGTTTCGTAGCCAAGTCTGCGTCGTCGGTTCCCACTTAGAAGTCACATGGTCTGCGTCGTTGTGTTGCGTCCTAATGGGAACCAAGCTTTAAACCTCAAATTGAAGGCCAATGGGCTTAATCTCAGGAAGAAGCCCATCTCGAAATGAAGCCCCTTCCTTAGTTTGTAAAAATAAACTCGGAAAAAAGCTTATCTCTAGATAGCATGACATACGTTGTACTGTACATGAATTTCAAAGAGACAAAAATAAATTTAAAACATGCTTGGTTTATACAGTGGTTTAGGTGATATAAAGCTGGTTATCATGATACAGACTGATTTATTGTTTCCCTATTTATTGTTTTATAGTTGTAATTCCCAAAATTCACCTGTCTCTTATACACATCTAGATGTGTATAAGAGACAGCCCTCTTTACTTGGCAAAAGTAGCCTTGAAAAGCAGCCCATCCAAAGTTTGCCCAGGGCTTCAATTCGAGGTTTTACGGTATAATTATAATTTTTGAAACAAGTAAAGTGTTTGCTTATATGATGTGACATAGTCTTTAATAAATTCGTCATATAATTAGCCTAACTTTGTATATTCCTTTTAATAATATAAATTAAAGTTAATAAAACACTGTTGTAGTTTGATTTTAAGTTTGTTTCATTTATTATATTTTACTCATGAAGCTGATCATCAAATTAAGTGTTAAAGGTGGTACATATTTTTTTTTACAGGACAAGCCAAACAGCTGCATAAAGAAGCACTTATTGAATCCTTTGTAGACACATCACTAAAAAGCAAGGTAATTTTATTAATTCAAGCCGTAAACTATTAAACACTGTAGGCTATATTTACCGCTTTTCAAAATCAAATGGTATCTCAAGAAAATAGGCATTTTACAAATAGGGCCTTAGATTAACTGTTATCCCTTTCCTTTTGAAGTTATCTGCACTCAAATTAGCCGCGAAATTTTTTTGTGATATTCGAGGTCGCCCTGCGTCCATATGAGTGGGTATATACACCTTATATTACAGATATATTATCTATGTGTAGTTGTCTCTAGCCACATGCAAGCGCAGGCTGAGTAAAATCAATTAAAAATGAATGGCATATATTCAAAGTTGGGGCCAGATCTATAAAAGTGAAAAACGCCAATATTTCTCAACAACGGATCGTCATCATGTGGACAGTTAAAATCTTTTCTTAAATTTATCCCAGTTAATCAGATATATTAGAAATATATAAAGCGGCTATTTTGAGTGTAGATAACTTCAAAAGGGAAGGGATGACGGTTAATCTAAGGCCATATTTGTGAAATATGGTAAAAAATAAGTTGGAATACCAAGTTTGACCTTGATAGCTATTACCAATCCCAAGTTATGAGCTTCTAAAGTAGAAGTAAATTGCGTTTGCACATCTTGAAGAACCACGCCCCTTTTTTGAGGAGTCAATATCTTGGAAACTACATATCCTATAAGGCTAATTTTTTTTTGTTTTGTTTTTTTTTGTTTTTCATATAATGGATCATTTTTATGGAGTTTCATCAAAATTTGAGACAGTCATACAGGAATTTTTTTTAAATCTGGTTGATTTGACATGGAATGACCCTACAATAGGTCAAGGTCAGAATGTACCATTTCCGGTCACTATTTGAATATTTTTTTCATTAAGACAAATATAAACATGAATCTCCTGAACAATTTGCAATCAATTGTGAATCCTGTGACCAGTAGTTACCGAGATATGACAATACAAGGTCAAAGGTCAAACTTTCAAAAATCACATTTCCTGCCATTTTTGGAGAAAAAGTTGTATTACAACAAATAGGAACATGCATATTGTGAACAGTTTGAGACCAAAATCAAGTCTCTCTGACCAGTGGTTATCGAGATACAAGCGTCCAAATCAACAGGCGGCCATTTTGAAAAACTCCCCCAGGCGGGACTTTTCCCCCCATATCTGGGAGGTATATAGGAGCTATATTTTATCTAAATTGGTCCATCTTGCCAAATCCATCGAGAAAAAAAGGTATCCTAAAATTAGTCACGGATCTCATGAAAATGACTCTACTAGATGATTAAAGATTAAGGATGAATGATTGAGAATGGATGGCTGATTAATAGATGATGGATGATTGTGGAAGGATGGCATATTAATGGATGATAGATGATTGAGGAGGGATGCCTGTTTAACAGATGATTGAAGATTGAGGATGGATGATTTAGAATGAATAACTGATTAATAGATTATCGATGATTGAGGATGGATGGCTGATTAATAAATGTTGGATGATTTAAAATATATGATTAACAGATGATTAAAGATTGAGGATGGATGGCTGATTAATAGATGATGGATGATTGAGGATTGATGGCTGATTAGTAGATGATGGATGAGTGAGAATTGAAAATTGAGGATTGATTGACAATAAAAATTATACCTTTAATAATTATAATAATAATAATTCTCTAATAATAATTAATGAAGTAAAGTTTGATATTTTTATTTTTTATATGAATATTTAGGATGTAGGATCCAAATCATCCGAAGCTGGAAGGCTATTCCTTGTACCCTGTCTCTTTAATGACTTCAAGCGTAAATCTCATAAGCTTGTGGAAAAAAGCTTTCCCATGATACATTTCTACATCAACTTCCAAGGGTTCCTTCCCAGCGGACTCTTCCATAAGGCACTCGTTAGGATTATTGCCTGGTCTCAGGATCAAGGAGATCTGCCACTATATCGCAAGAGTGTAGAGTTCTATGTAGATCATGCTCATGACATGGTCTTGCCACTTGACAAGCCTATGGTTGAGGTGAATACTTGTTTTTAGGGAACCTGTCAAAACAAACCAACATGAAATCGTGAAGGCGAAGTTGGGGATTAAACCTAAAATTAATCGCATTGCGTTGCCTACCCGATGTTTAGATTGTATCTCGATTTGTGGGATATTCCATGTCAATGAATATGGTGCATGGTGCAATCGACAACAAACGTGTTTTAATCACCGAGAGCAACCAAGCATTAACCAAAACAGCATGTGTGTTGTTGTGTCGCAGCAGAATGGAGGACTTTACCAACCCTATGATTATGTATATGATTATATGGGCCAGTCACCATTGGCTAAGTAATAAACGTCATAATAGTCTGATTGCGTAACTCTTTCAAAGTGATAATGTACGGTATATTGCTTTATATAAAATCAGAACGTCGTATTTATTTTTTTCGTAATTTATTACTCAGTTCAGTATATTCAAATCAGAACTACCAACGCGAGTCAACGGAATGTGCGTGCATGATAAAAAAAAGTGTGTTGGGGTCAACAACTCACTGATAACGTGAAGTGAATGTAAACAACATACAGTATAATAATTTAGCGCTCTTACTCTGGAAAGAACACATAGGCCTAAAAGTCCGTGTGTAATTTTATGTATACATTTTGTATTATATGTGTATAATTATGTATTGTGTATGTGCTGTCTCTTATACACATCTAGATGTGTATAAGAGACAGCCCTACAATAGGTCAAGGTCAGAATGTACCATTTCCGGTCACTATTTGAATATTTTTTTCATTAAGACAAATATAAACATGAATCTCCTGAACAATTTGCAATCAATTGTGAATCCTGTGACCAGTAGTTACCGAGATATGACAATACAAGGTCAAAGGTCAAACTTTCAAAAATCACATTTCCTGCCATTTCTTTTTCCTGTTTCAAATACAATTTAACTGCTGACATTGTTTTTTTACTGCCAATTGTATTTTCATGAAATTATTTTTGATATGCCTAACACCTTCACACGATTATAGAAATAATGTAAATATTTTAAAAACTTTTTTACCTGAGCAAACTAATCAATACCACTTTGTTTGTATCCTTCAGGTGATAGATAACGCCATCGAAAGGTTGGGTGGGTACTGGGAAGGGACCAAATTTGATGGATTTGCGCTAAACGTAAGCCACGAAAAGTCGACGGATAAGTTTGGGCCTTACGAAGACTATGGAGAGGTGTATCGCCTACTTAAAGGGTCATTAAGACAGCTGCAGCACCAGCGAGAAGTTCTGGAGGAACTGAAATTCGGGTGTAAACACACAAAACGCGATATCTGTGAAACCACTTTTGTAAAATGCACAGATAATGGATGCCACCACTGCACATCCAACCCAGTTGTGGCTGTTAAGACCATTGATGTGATTTGCCAACAAGGCCCTATGATTCAACTAACTCTGGATGAATATTACGAAGGTCATTACATGACCTTTCTTGATCAATTAACTGTTGACAAGCCTGCCTATTGACTAATGGGTGTTGGCAGATGCCATATATGTCCAGAATACACATTTGCATCAGAGTCAGACAGAAAGAGGCACATGTCAATGATACTTAGATAAAAGGGCATCAGATTGAACGTGTAACTCAACATTTCGCTACGTATGTTTAATTCATCGCATTTTTATGCTTCCTATTTTTTAATGTTGTAACATATGCCCATGATGAAGTCCTGGATTGGTCTGAAATAGCAGGCAGGAATACTAATTCCGAGGTACTCTGTTGTATTTTTTTTATGCCATATTTGTTTCTCATATTTTAAATGTTGTACCCTATGGCCATGACGAAGTCCTGGATTGATCTGAAATAGCAGGCAGGAATACTTATTCCGAGGTACTCTGTTGTATTTTTTATGCCATATTTGTTTCTCATATTTTAAATGTTGTACCCTATGGCCATGACGAAGTCCTGGATTGGTCTGAAATAGCAGGCAGGAATACTTATTCCGAGGTACTCTGTTGTATTTTTTTATGCCATATTTGTTTCTCATATTTTAAATGTTGTACCCTATGGCCATGACGCTCTGTTGTATTTTTGTATATCCCATTGTTTGTTTCTCATTTTTTGAAGTCCTGGATTGGTCTTATTATATAGCAGGCAGTAATCGTTATTATTGGGAGAATGCCTCATTTATGAAGAGCGTCAGTAAATAAAATGTAGACCCCCACAGTATGAATTTGTGTTTGCCTTATGATTTTTATTGTTTGCTATTAGTGCAGGGCATTTTTGTTCTAATACAATATAATAATTACTCAGTTTAAAACTATTTCTTCCATGGTTTTATACAAATTTTTTTTTTGAAAAATTGAGACTTCTAGATGGCCGGATAGGGCTGGGATGGGAAAACTAGGCCTATTTTATTTGGTTTTTTTTTGGGTCCGACTGCCCAACGACTGTGGCCGATGGGGGATTAAGCCCCCTGCTCCCGCTGCTTTACATAACAATAATGAAATCTTGCTATTTATCACTTGCACCAGGGAGTTGTATGAAAACTCCCTGCTTACTCTTACCGCATATATACAGTAGTATAGGTCTCCATGGTTACGTTAATTGTTAACTGACAGCCATGCCCATTCGTGCAGAACGAGCAAGTTTGCAGAGTGATGAATGAACCGCCAAAGTGCGCAAGACAAAGATAAAACAAGATTTTCAAAACAAGTTTAACGGCTAGCCTTTTTAGTTCCTATGCATGTAATGCAATAGGAACTATTGTAATCACTCTTGCTATTTCCTATGTTTTTTATTGTGTGTAGTGTGTATGTGTGTGTAGACATTTATGCAAATGCGCATGCGTCAAAGAAAAGTTTTCCGACATTTTGTTTTACATCGCGATGCGAAGATCGATGTGAAGTTTCTGCAGAGTTCAGTCAGGGCTCACGCTAACCGACCAGAATGTCGGCATGGAATAAACTATTTTGGTTTTTTGAAAAAAACCATCTGCTGTAAGCATAGGTATTTTGAAGAAGGCCTAAAATAAAACTAAAATGTTTTAATACTTGCTGAAATACATCGTTTCTTCATTTAGATCTCCATTTTTCACTTAGTCCATGCGACGTTTTTTCCTGTTGTATACG